GCATTGAGTTTTATAAGTTCTTCATAGAGTTTGGTTATTAACCCCTTATCAGATGCATCATTGGTAAATATGAAGACCCAGAAAAACCTGGAATTTATTTATTAAAAAGTGTATATTTATTCTTACATGTTTAAACTTCAGTCACCTTAAAGTACTCTCCATTTAATGCAATAAACCTATTGAGATGTTTTTCCCACTTCTGAAAACAGTTTTTTTTAATTTAATTTATGTATTTTTTCAAATACATTTGTCTCCGCCTTCCCCCTGTCACTTTCCTCTTCCTCCTCCCCCCTCTCCCTCCCTCAATCCTTCCCCTTTGTTTTTGTCCCTGAGTCTTTGCTATATGTTTCTTGACTTGCCCCTTCCCTCCCTTTTCCCCGCGCCCACCCCTCCCTCCTTCCCTCTTGTCTCTGTTGGTTTCTTTTCCTTTCATTGCTGGTCTTATTTTCCTTGCATCTTTGTATTGTTGGTTAGGATAAAATCATATGGTATTTGTCTTTCGCCTCCTGGCTTATTTCACTTAGCATAATGTTCTCTAGTTCCATCCGTGCTGTTGCAAAGTGTAGTAGTTCTTTTTTTCTATCTGCTGTGTAGTATGAAAACAGTTTTTGAAGTTGTCAGTTTGATGCTTATTAGTGCTTCTGTCATTTTTTTTCACCTCTTCCATATCATCAAAATGTTTCCCCTTGAGGACTTTTTTCATGTGAGGAAACAAACAAACAAAAAAAAAGTAATTTGTGATGAGATCAGGTTAATATGGAGGGTGGGACACAGGGGTCATGCCATCTGTGGTCAAAAACTGCTGAACACTCAGCATGGTGTGGGCAGATACATTCATAAATCATACATCATGAAATGGACAAATGTGTTGAGTCTTCAAAACAAATTCACTAAAGCTGAACACAGATATAGATGGGTTCCTCAGACACTCACCTAGTAGGAAAAGTTTGGATTATAAGGGGCCTGCCATACAGAAGATAATTCTGTTTCGGGCCTTGCTTTGTATGTCCTTTCATTCACTGGGTTATCTTTTAATTTTGTTGATGTGCCTTTGTTGTGCAAAAACTTTTTAGTTTCATGTAGCCTCATTTGTTTATTTTTCTTTTTTTCCCCTTGCCCAATGAGATATATCAGAAAAAAATAATGCTGTGAGAAATGTCTTAGATGTCACTGCCTGTGTTTTCTTCTAGTATATTTATGGTTTCAAGTCCTGCATTTAAATTGTTAATCCATTTTGAGTTTATTGTTGAAACACCAGATAATTTGTATCTTTTGTTTTATTTGAAATTGCTGCATGGAGACTTGATCCTTCTATTCTAACATTCAGGAGGAAAACTATGCAAAATTGTCTTAGAGTTATTTAAGACAGAAGTCTGAAGTAAATCTCACTGGGCTAAAAGCAGTGTCAACAGTCTGCACTTTTTCTGGAAACTCTAAGGAAAATCTTTTCCTTATCTTGTTCAGCATCTTGAATTCTGCTTCTTCCTTGGTTCTGCCCCTCCTTTCATCTTCAGAGCTAGCAATTATACCATCTGACAATGAATTTCCTGCCTTCCAGTTCTACACTTGCAGACATTTGTCATTATGGAGAGCCAACACTGGTAATCCAGGATAATCTCTTTATTTTATGGTCATCTGATTAACAATCTTGTCTCCTTTTGCTTTGGAAACTAACATATTTACAAGTTCTAAGGTAGTACTACATGGACAATTTGGGGAAATATTATTCTGTCTCTCACAAGCTTTTGCATGCCGGTACAGGAATTTAAACATTCAACTTTCTCTTAAACATTTCCACTTAGATATCTAACTGGCATTTCATACCAAACTTAAAATCAAACTCTTGGTTTCCATATTCCATAAACATGTTCTCTATTTTTCCATATATCAGTACTTAGGTAAGTCAAAAACTTTAATTGCTAAAACAAATTATTGATACCTTACATAATCTATATTCACATAAAATCCATCAACAAATTCTGTTTATTCTATTTTCAAAATGTATCTAGAATTTGGCACATCTCCCCAACTTGTTTCATATTCTCAGTTGCTTGCATAGTTCTTAATATCATAGGTGCTAACAAGTAGTTCATGACTGAACTAATATATGAATGCCATTTTTCCCAATGACCTGATAACATATAATTAAGGCTACAAGATGGTGTGTGGCTTTCTGGTTTATTTCAAGTAAACTTGAATTCAAATAATTTTGTTTTCAATGCAAACTAAGGAATATATCTTATATCAGGATTCTTAATTGAAAACAGCAGAAATCATTAACCTAAGCAGTCAATAAATTAATTGTAAATACATGTGGCAGAAAAAAATCAGCAGGAGATTTGGAAAAGCAGGTCTTAAAAATAGGTAGGAGTTAAGGCAGCTACCTTATCCATCCTGACACTGCTGAACCCCATTATACAAATTAAGAGGTTGGGCATTGGTTTTTCTTTCCCTTTTTTTCATTTACATCTTTATGATTTCTAGAGTTTTCTTCCTAGCAATATTAGATTTTTTATAGCAATCATTGTTAATCTATCCCATTATTAAATTTATATTAAGCATGGTCAATTATAAATAAAAATAACACAAAAATAAATTCACATGATTATGTTTTACTAGAACTTCTATTTAATATTCTTTTATTAACTTAAATATCTATGATGTTATAACTAATGACCCCTTATTTTTTCATTTTTTCTTACATATAAGTTGTATTGATTACAAAAACTGAACATTACATTTGATATTTCTGAACTCCAATAACCTAAATATTTATTTAATTTATATTTTTAATATTTTATTGAATTTATTGAGGTGATATTGGCTAATAAAATAATATCGATTTCAAGTATACAATTCTCTAATACATCATCTGTATACTGTATTGTGTGTTTACCACCCATTCATCCCCCCTTTACCTTCTTTCACCTCCTCTTTCTCTTTCTCATCTTTCTTACTGGTAATCACCATACCGTTGTCCGTCTATGATTTCTTTTTTTGCTTAATCCCTTCACCTTTTTCACCTAGCCCCCACAAGACTCCCCTTTGACAGCTGTCAGCTTGTTTTCTGTTTCTATGACCCTGCTTTTATTTTATTTGTTTTGTTCATTAGATTACACATGGGAGTGAAATCATATGGTATTTGTTTTTCTCTATTTGTCTTACTTCACTTAGCATAATCCTCTCCAGGACCATCCATACTGTCACAAAAGGTAAGATTTATTTAAAAACTAAGATCCCTGATATTCAAGTATTTCCCTTTGAATAAGTAGGAAACTAAAGGACAAGATATGGTCCTTAATTCTTTATAGTTGAAATGTTCTTCATATTAGATTACAGTTATTCTAAATGGTCAAACACAGTGCTACTCCATCTTAGTTTGCAATTCATGTGACACACAGTTTTTAGTAGTGGGTCAAACAGTGATGACTAATAAAATTAATAAGACTTATTTTATGTTGGAGCTAATAAATCTTTTATCAGTATTTCAACCACTCTCCTTATGTGGCCTCATTGTTAAGATTATGCCTTTTATCTATGGAAACCAATCTCTTTCATATACAGTTTCACCAAAAAGCTTATAAAATGTGTATTAAAGCAGTATTGACTTGTCTAACAATAAAAAGTACAATTAGGCTTCCAACATAGAACATTTTAATTTGCATAAAGACCTCTCTATTTCTTTTGCTGCAAAGTATAACCAAAAGGTTATATTCTGTTCCATGAGCCACTAATTAATCTAAAATCACTAGATAGATGTACCTATGCAATATTGTCCTGTTATTTATGCAGATTATTAAAACTGAATTTATGTGTAAGATACACCAATAGGAAAACACGGTTGAAATCATTAGAAAAAATGACTAAGGACAATACATTTCTTTTACATAATATTATATAATGTAATAATTTAAGATACTTTCTGAGAGCCACTGTTTTGATAAAAATCATCCCAAAGGTAAAACTTGACATAATTTTATCACACATATTGACTGAGGTTTCTGAACTACATGATGTACAATTTTAAGAGACAACTTTTAACTATCAGAAAGAGTAATTATAAGAAACTTTACCTAAAAATTAGGTAAACTGATCTGAAATATACTTGGTTACTTTAAGAATACTAGAAGTATTTCTGATTTTTAATTCAGAATACAGGTTGTTTCCTGAGGATGTTTGATCCTTGTCATATAAATGCATGTCTCTCTTGTGTACCTGAGAATTTTAATTCCACTTTTAAAAATAATGGAAACATGTGTGACTCCTGTAATTCTTGTGCTCTTTGATCTCCTCAAGTGACTTCTAGGAGGAAAAATTCAGTGCAGGGTTATTTCTCCATTTCTTTGCAAAGGTGGCATGGAAATAATTTGTGACCACTGAAGATAAGCCTTCCCATAATTGTTAAAGAGCAGCATGGCTCCACCAGTGTAACACAGAATGATTTTGCCTCAGGTCACTTCAAGGAATGTCACATCACGTAACACAACATAACCTGATGTAGCCTGATCCAACAGGTCAGGTGCCTGTTGCCTATGTGTAGGGGAAAAAAACTTTTTATTTCTTCTCCGGAAGGGAGACAATGTCACCATGTATAACAAAATGTAAGTTCTAGCTCTGACTACAAGGAATACCAGTAGAAATCATTTCCTTCCCAATTACAGTGAACTCTGTTCAGCACTGAGTTACTTAGGGTGCATGTCATGAACAAGGATGCAATTGTGATTATTTAAAGTAAGCTGAAAGATATCTGCCTTAATTAACACAAATTTAAGAGTAGACAAAAGTTGTAGTAGAGTCAGAATGCTGTGTTCTTTTAAGTGGCAATAAAACAGGAGGAGAGAAAAACAATTATGAAACAAGTAATAGTTAATAAAATAGTATTCTTTTATAAAATAGAGTTATATTTTCTACAGAAAAAATAGATGGCCAAGCAAGTAGAGGGTTGATGATGATGATGATGATTACTACTAACCAAGATAATTGATCATAAAGTTACTAGTCTAGCACTTTTACAGGTCCTCCCCAGGCAGTAGGGCCAGAATTTGGTAACTGGTCCTGAAAGAAGACCCTTGATTGAATCCTTGCTCTGGAAATGTACCAGTGGCAGTTTGTCACTCAATGGCACAGAGAGATTGCTTTGTCACATCTTATTCAACATTGTACTTTTCTCCTGTTGCTCTAACCTTAGGCCCTCTTCCTGTTCATCTTTTTGACATAGAGAAAGAAAGAAAGAAAGAAAAAGAAAGAAAGAAAGAAAGAAAGAAAGAAAAAAAGAAAGAAAGAAATAAAGAAGAGAAAAACAAAGGAAGGAAGGAAGGAAGGAAGGAAGGAAGGAAGGAAGGAAGGAAGGAAGGAAGGAAGGAAGGAAGGAAGGAAGGAAGGAAGGAAGGAAGGGGAGAAAGAAATCTATTTGTGTTGCTTTATTCCTGAATTAAACAATGTAGTTATCCATTGTGCTGGGCACATTTAATAGATAAAAGGGGCATAGCACCCACTGCCTCCCTTCAGTAGGCTTGGCTGAATAAAGAAACAAAACAGGCATACATTACACACTTGAGACTGAGTAAATAAAAAATTCCAGGTTATTACCTGTATTTCCTAGAAAAGGTAGAGAAAGAAAAGAACATTGCCTGGAGTAAAAAAAGAAGGCCTCAGGGATTTTAATTTATTATTACTTGTTTTGAATTTAATTTTGTAATCTCACAAGGAAATCCAAGTCCATTAAAAAGTTAAAAGCACATGTAGTTCACTTGGAGTAATGAACTTTAAAAACATCTGAATTTATCTATAAAGGTAAAGGACATGTCTTTTTAAAATATTTCTTGGGCATATTAAATAATTAATTATTTAAAAATAAAACTGTAGAATTAATCGCTATGAGATCTGCAACAAAAGGTAAATTATAAAGCACTAGTATAGAAATTCATTTTTAAAAAGTTAAAACATGCTTACTTACAAGAGGGTGACCAAATAACCAGTTCTCTTTAATCATTTAGTTGACATGAACCCTATCGTATTTGCCTGTAACCTGTTAGATGTTAAGTGAAGAAAACTGAGTAAAAAGAACAGCTTAAGAAAGATATGAACAAGATTTTAGTGGGAAATAGCAGTTTCATATTTATGTTAACTCAAGGGGTGACACTCTGGATCCAGTTGTGAAAATAAGAAGAAGGTGTATAAGGGGTAAAAGTGGTGAAAACAGCTATTTATATTTTTACAAAGTAGTTTTGCTCTTTCATCAATAATCCTGCAGATTTTTCTGATGAAATATAAAGATAAATATTATGCTTACAAGTATGTTGCCATCTAAGTCAAATATGAATCACTCCAGAATTATTCATCACTTCACCAATAATTTGTTCCACTATTCACACATTTCTTACTTTAGTTCATATAATCAAGATTTGACTGTGCATATATTATAGGCAGAGAATTATAATAAACTAATATATGCATCAAGAATGAGCAATTAAACATGATGTCAGAATTCAGTTCACAATTTTATTTCAAAGGACAATTGGCTTTCAACTGAAATAAAATGTGTACCTCCAATACAAGTGTATAATTTACCACTATCCAAATATAAAATATTTAAAGTCTAAGATATACTTACTATACAAACAGGTTTGTAATGAAAACTAAAATCTTTAATCAAAAGAAATAAATTGTTAAAGTTCAAAAGAAAAAGAATTATCCAAAAAAATGGAATATTGCAGTTATTAGTTATCTGTTAATTTATTTCTGTTGTGCCAATGTTTATTGCTATGTCTACAATTTTAACCAATTACATAATAATTTAATTCAAATTGACACTGATAAAATCAAAAATCATGCTTCTCTTCTGTAAGCAATTTGGCACTCAACAATTACTGAACTATTCTGAGCTGATTTAATTGAGCACAAAACTGAGAAGTGTCCACAAACTATAAACTACATCTAAACACTTCTAGTGGAGTTTCAGTGGCTCATATTTCACTAAGATGTTTCAGTGCATGTGACATCTTTTGGATATTTCTCTCTTTCTCTCTCTCATCTCTCTCTCTTTCTTCTCACCTCTGCTGTTTCTTTTTTCTTCCAAAATGCCAAAAGAAGGAGGTGAATATAAACCACAATTAGGACTAGATCAGGACAACCACGGTCATATGAGAGTCTAACTCTACTATCATCAGGTTTTGCATCTCACACATTAGGATGATCAATTACAAACCTTGACAAAACTATAAAATGGAAGCTCCTGGAACTAAGCTAATTATTAATAGTTGGAAAATAGAATCAAAACCATGCTTATAAAGCTAATAAGGCAGGAATTCCATTTCCTCCAACTCCACTGCCCTCAGGTGAACTAAGGAGATAAACAGCATATTCCCTTCTAAATTTCACAAGAAAGTTTACTTAACCCAGTAGACCCAGTAGAACAATGGAAGAATAAGAGAAGGTGGTTCTATTTTATTTTGGCTTGAAACTTACCTCACAAAGAAAGTTTACACTATGTAAAGATTTTTAGTAATGTACTAACAAGTCTGCAGAATTTGCTGTACTTATACAAGGAAGTTAGATTTGAAAATAAAACTGTTTTTATGTTTGTGGGTGCAATGATGAACAGATGGTGAACATGTGGAATTTATAGAGGCCTTTACCTAATAAAACCTTTTGAGACATTCCAAGAATGACAACAAAGTGATGAGATGGAGCAGAATTGCAAAAGGTAATTTTCTTAACCTTCTGTTTTTTTTTTTAAAGCAGAAAACATAAAACTAACAACTTATTGCCCCTCAAATGCTTATGAATTGTGCATGAAAGAGATAGGAGCCCAAGTTCTCTAGAAACGGTGTCACTATATTATGACTGTGAAGTTCTTTATGAATTGTCTCAGAAAGAACTGGTTTATGAAGTAGATAACTGATTGGGATGCATACTCTTAAAAAGTAGAGTAAGGCAGAGTACAAGATCATGAAATATAAAAAGTTTTACTTAGAATTTTTTTATAATGGAATGCTTTCTTAAATTATAAGAGAATAATTTCTTAAATTATAAAAGCAGATACAATTTTGAATTGTGATTTTATAAAAATATATTAAATTAGCTGAAAATTAGGGAAATGTCCTTTATAAGGTGACTCTAAGCTCAAGATAGACACTAAAACCAAAATTTCTCAGGAAAAACTGATGAGATTCAGACTGGAGGAAAAACGATTGTTAGGACATCAGGCTAAGATAGATCAACATTTAAAGAACATAAATATATTTACAAATGTAAAGCAGAATAATATAGCCAAAACATATCCTACATTTGCACTAATACTTTGCAAATAATAAGATTTGTTTTTCAAGCTAATCACAAAATCGGAATTCACCCTAATGCTTAGCCCCTGCTTACTTCAGTTCAGACCACAGCAGTTTATATATTTAAACCTACTCAAAACTTTTTTTAACTTTATTTTTCAATTACACTTCATGCTCAACTCTATTTTGTAATTGTTTCAGGTGTATAGCACAGTGGCCAGATAATCAAACAGCTTACAAAGTACCCCTCTCCAATATTTCTAGTACTCATCTCTCACCATACATAGTTATTACAATATTATTGACTATATTCCCAATGTTGTACTTCATATCACAGGACCTTATTGTGACTAACAATTAGTAGCTCTTAATATTTTAACCTTCTTCACCCAACTGCTCAAACTCTCTCCCGTCTGGCAACCATCAGTCTGTTTACTCTATGAGTCCATTTCTGTTTGTTTATTCATTTATTTTTTATTTTGCTCTTTAGTTTCCATATACAAGTGAAATCATATGGTCTTATTTTACTGAGCATAATACCCTCTAGGTCTATCCATGCTGTCACAAATGGTAAGATTTCGTTTTTTTAATGGCCGAGTAATATTCTATTGTATATATGTACCATTCCTTCTTTTTTTAAAATTTTATTTTAATTTATTTTTTCAAATACATTTGTCTCTGCCAACCCCCCACCACTTTCCCTGGCCCCCTCCCTCCTTCCCTGTACCATTCCTTCTTTATCCAATCGTTTGTCAATGGGACTCCTGTTACTTCCAGATGTGGCTATTGTAAACAATGCTGCAAAAAGCATAGGGGTGTATATATTTTTTTCAAATTAGTGCTTTAGGTTTCTCCAGATATATACCCAGAAGTGTAATTGCTGGGTCATAAATAGTTGTATTTTTAATTTTTTGAGAACTTTATATACTATTTTCCGCAGTTGCTGCACCCATCTGCATTTTCACGAACAGTTCCTTTCCTTCAAATCCTTAAATATTCTTGTTTGTGGATTTACTGATGATAACCATTCTGACAGATGTGAAGTGATATCTCATTGTGGTTTTAACTTGCAGTTCCCTAATAATTAGTGACATTGAGCATATTTCAGATGTCTATTGGCCATCTGTATGCCCTCTTTGGAAAAGTGTCTATTCAGGCTCTTTGTCCATTTTTTAGTTGGATTGTTTATCATCTTAGTGTTGACGTGTAAGAGATTCTGTATAAATATTCGATATTAACCTCTTAGCAGATATATCATTGACAAATATTTCCCATTCAGTAGGTGGTCTTTCTGTTTTGTTGATGGATTCTTTGCTGTGCAAAACCTTTTTAGTTTGATGTAGTCCCATTTATTTCTTTTTCCTTTTGTTTCCCTTGCGCAAGGAGATATATCAGGAAAAAAAATATAGCTAAGAGAGATATCAGAGATTTTACTGACTATGTTTTCCTCTAGGAGGTTTTTGGTTTTGAGTCTTACACTTAAGTCTCTAATCCATTTTGAGTTTATTCTTGTGTACGGTATAAGACGGTGGTAGTGCAGGTTCATTTTTCTTACATGTACTTCTCTAAACTTTTCAATATGATTTATTGAATAGATTACCTTCACTCCATTTTTTGTTCTTTCCTTCTGCGTCAATGATTAATTAACCACATAGATGTGGTTTATTTCTCAGTTCTTTGTTCTGTCCAATTGGTCTATATGCATGTTTTTATGCCAGTGCCATGCCGTTTGGTTTGCTATAGCCTTATATAGTTTGATAACAGTTAGTATGATACCTCCTGATTTGTTCTTCTGTCTCAAGATTTCTGTGGTTATTTGGGGTCTTTTTTTGTTCCATATAAAGCTT